CCAGTGATTCCACTTCTAGGAGTATATCCTAAGAAATCTGAAACACTGATTGAAAAGGATATATGCACCCCTATGTTCATTGCAGCATTATTTACAATAGCCAGGATTTGGAAGCAGCCCAAGTGCCTATCCGTAGATGAGTGGATAAAAAAGAGGTGGTATATTTACACAATGCAATATTACTTGGACATAAAAACAACAGAAATCTTACCTTTTGCGTGAGCATGGCAGGACCTGAAGATCATTATGGTAAGTGAAATAAGCCAGTCAGAGAAAGACAAGTACCATATGATTTCACTCATATGTGGAATCTAATGAACAAACTTAATAACAAGCAAAATAGAGACAGACTCATAGAAAAAGAACTGGCTGACAGCGCTGTGGTGGAGTGCTGTGGGGGAGAGGGATCTAGCAAGAAGAAAAAAGAAAACACTCATGGACAGGAACAACACTGTGGTGATTGTGGGGTGTGCAGGTGGAAGAGAATATGGGGGGGTAAATGGTAATGAACAAATAAGAATAAAATGGGAATAAATATGTACCTATCAGTAAAGGAAAAACTCATAGACACACACAACAGTCTGATGATTACCAACAGGAAAGGGGGTTGGGGGAGGCAGAAGAAGGTAAAGTGGGGATAAATGGTGATAGAAGTAGACTTGACCAGGGGTGGTGAACACACAACACAGTCTGCTGACGATGTGTTACAGAACGGTACATCTGAACGGTACATAATTTTATTAATTGTCACCTCAATAAATTCTGTTTTAAAAAATCAAGCAAAGAAAACTACGTGGGAGAAAAGTCTTTAAGACCATGAGCTAAGTGAAGAGCTCTTAGAAACAACCCGAAAGCATACTCCATAAAGGAGATCACTGGACTTCAGAATTTAAAACTTATGTCCTTTGAAGGACTGTAAGAGACTGAAAAGATAAGCTGAACAAGGAGGAAACGTTTGTAAATCATGTATCTCAATAAGGGACTTACAGCCTAAATATATACAAAGAACTCTCAAAACTAAATAATTTTTAAAAAGTAATAAAATATTAGCAAAAGATTTGAACACACATGTCACCAGGAAGATATACAGAAGTCAAATAAGCATATAAAAAATGCTCATCATTTGTCATCAGGGAAGTACAAATTGAAACCAGAATAATATTCAAGCCTGTTAGAATGGTTATGATTAAAAAGTCTGGCCAAATCAAGTGTTGACAAGGATGTGGAGGAAATGAAATTTTCATACTGCTGGTAGAAATGTAAAATGGTACAACTATTTTGTGAAAACTTTGGCACTTTCTTGAAAAATTAGACATACACCTACCAAATAATCCAGCCATTTTACTTTTAGGTAGTTACCTAAGATAAATAAAAGCATCTATCTTTACAAAAACTTGTATGCATGTTTACAGAGCTTTATTTGTATAACCACAAATGAAAAACAAGTGAATGAATAAACCACAAATGAAAAACAAGTGAATGAATAAACAAATGAATGAAAAACAAGTGAATGAACAGGCAATATCCATACAAAGGGATATTGCTGAGCAATAAAAAGGAATGAACTATCAATAAACACTACAACATGGACGAGTTGTAACATAATTATGCAGTAAAAGAAGCTGGACTCAAAAGTTTACACACTATATAATTCTATTTAATATTAAATACTAGAAAATTTAAGCTAAACTATTATAAAGGAAAGCAGGAATGGGGAAGGGATAACAAAGAAGCATAAGGTAACTTTTGGGAATTGATGGATATGTTCATTATCTTCATTGTGATTGATGATAGTTTCATGGGTCACACTTGTCAAATTGCAAACTTCAACTATATGTACTTTATCTTATGTCTATTATTTTCAACAATGCTAAGTAAAAAAGTTTAAAGCATTATACACAGTTCTGCCACCTGGCTTTTTTTAAACACTTAATTTGCTTGTTGATTTTATCTTTTAAATACACAAATCTCCCTCCTTTTTATAGCTACCTAGGATTCTATTATACACCTAATATTCATTTTACAATTCTCCTACTGATGTCAATTTACAAACAATACATTGGAAAACCTCTTACAAACATGTTTCATATACAAGCATATTTATAGGATATATTTTTAGAAGTAAAATTGTTTAAATATATTTCCTTTTGAAATAAATGTTTATATTTAAAATTCTGACTGCTATTGCCAAAATGACCAGTCAGTTTTCAATACAGGAAACAAAACCACTCTAGGTATTTTAAATGAGAAGGCACTTTTAAGGAATTTGATGCTTACAAAGTCTTTGGGAGAGCTGAAGGGGAAGAAGGTCTAGGAACCTGGGTTGAGCCCCCCAGAATACACCCAACCATGACACTGATTCACTAGGGGAGCTTCTGCCTCAGGCTCATCACCGAGCCATGCTGGAAGCCAGGGGCCAGCACGACCTCTCACACATGGGAAACTGGAGAAAGCGGTGATAACCACAATTGAGGAATTTGTCAGGTTAAGAAGCTGCCGCCACCATCACTACTCCTCCATATCCAGAAGTCGGAGGATGAACACTTGGTGGCTGCTGCATTGGAAACTTGTTTCCATAACAATAATAAACATTTTAAAAAATAAATATAAAAATAAAATACACCAGCTATTGAATTTCTAAGAAAAGAGAATGTTTCCCCACAACACTGCAACATTCAAGAACCTCAAGAAGATGCCCTATGCCTCACTTCTCTTTTCAAATCAGATGGAAAACATATCATTGAGAAAATTTCATGTTTCCAGAACTCTAGCTTTACAATAAGTTCTGGGAAATGTATTGATTTCCAACCTCTCTGACTAGGAATATAAATTGAAGGGTGAGAAAATCCAAAATATACAGTTCACCATCCTTAGTGGTGGTTCCAATATATACTTCTACCAGTAAAAACAGTTGCTTCCTAATTCTTACCAATAATATCTAGCCCTGACTGGTGTGGCTCAGTTTGTTGGGCATCGTCCTGCAAAGCAACAGGTCACTGGTCTGATTACCGATCAGGGCCCATGCCTAGGTTGCAGGTTCGGTCCCTGGTTGGGGTGCACATGAGAGGCAATGGATTGATGTTTCTTTCTCACACTGATGTTTCCCTCCCTGTTTTTCTCCCTCCCTTCCCTCCCTCTAAAAATAAAATCTTTAAAAAATAATATCTAGAACACAACACAATGTTCTATAAAATTTAAAAAATCTTTCTTGATCAAATAGATTTAAAAAACTAGTGTCTACTAGTACTGTACACTAGACTAGTGTCTAGTGTACAGTTTTGATTTCTCTTAATAGTGAAGTTGAACTTTTTTTTTAGTTTGAGTCATTAGTACCCTTTTCTGTAAAAACTCTATAGTTTTAGGTCTTTTTCCTTTTGGGCTATTGAACTTTTTCTTATTGAATTACAGGAGTTCTTTTTATATTAAGCAATGTATGACAGAAATTGCAAGTATTTCTCCAAATTTGTCATTATTTTATGGTGGTTTTTGCAATGAAGAATGTATTTGTGATATATCATTGTAATTTTATAGTGAAAATACATTTTTTTGTTTCTGTATGTTTTAATTGAATTTAGGAATGTCTTCACCACACTAAAATCTTTTAAGATTCCCCCATGATTTTTTCAAGTACTTTAAACACTTCAGTATTCCTATTTAAAACTGGATTTTATTTTGTTACAAGGTATGAATACAACTTAACTTTTTCCTACAAAAAGCTGCACAGGTATCCTAACACCTTTTAATGAGTAAACCATATTTTCTCCACTGAACTGAAATGTCATCTTTATCTTGTACTAAATTCCTTTTAATTCTGTTCTAATGACCTGTCTACCTATGTGCCAGGGCAAAACTGTTTTAATTATTGGAGTTTTCTATTTTAATATTTAATAAGACTCATCTACCCTCTTTGCTTTTTCAGAGCTTTCCTGGCTAGTCTTGCTTTTCATAGGAACTTTGGAATCAGCTTTCCTTCCAGTTTTGAAAAATCCTGATATTTTCATTGGGAGTGCATTACATATATAGATTAATTTAGAAAGAACTGGCATGTACATAAATTAAGTGTTCCTGTCCAAGAATATATGCCTTTCCATGTTTGAGCTTTCTCTTCAGAAGAAATATAGTTTTCTTTTTGTGTTTTGCATATTGTTTATTCCTATTTTCTCTCCTTTGTTCTTAAAAGGGGCCTCTTTTTCCATTATGTCTTCTAACTGGCTGTTGTTTACATCAATGAAAGCTTTTAATTTCTGTGACTAATTTTATACCCAGCAATTTTATTAGTTTTAGGATACTTTCAGCTGACTCTCTTAAGCTTTGCATTGTCTCCTACAAATACTAACGTTATACCTCCTCCTCCGTTTCTAATGTCTCTAATACTCGAGTCTTGCCCTGGGTTTTTAAGATCCTTGAGGGCATGTTATAGTAGTACATTTTTTACACTTTTCAGAGCACCAGTAAAATGCTCTGCATTGAATGGTCCATGATTAACCTCTATTATGAAAATAGAAACACAAAGTGCCTGGTAAATTATCAATCTGCCCAGTTCATTTATTCAGCACTTTTGTCAGATCCTACTAATTTTCTTCCTGTTCATTCATAGCATCTAATTCTTTTCTCCTCCCACAATGAAATCTTTTGTCATATATATATATGTATATATATATACATATATATGTATATATATACATATATATGTATATATATACATATATATATGCAATATATATATATATATTGCAACAAAACAGGCCCTTTAGTTTGTAAGTTTGTTCCTTAGATTTATATATGAAATTGCAATAAAATAAAAATTTTTTAGTCTCAGATTCACTTAAACAATCTCGGTGATATTCATGCATTGTCCATATCAGTTTTCCTAAAGCTATGCATGATTTTATTTTAAAAATACACACATTAGGTATAATGTGAGGAGAAATTCAAACCAAACATGTTTACATGCATGAAACAGATTAAATTCTCTAAGCTATACAAGAAAGTCAGTCATCTTAATTTAGGATCTTTTATTAAAATATTTGCAAACCACATAAGTTAACTACATGGGAAGGATAAATGGGTCACATGACCATCTGAAAAATACCACATCAAATTAGAAGTTTCAACTGATAAAGCATGTTTCTTCTCCAGGCCTTTTACAAGCATGGTAAAACAGAAGTTCTAACTTTCGCACTAAGCTTCCATGAAGTGAAGTTAGTTACAATTGTGTGCTAGAGTGAAATAAGATGAAAATTCAGGAAAGTACAAACAAAATGGAGCTCCTCAAATTGCCCAGAAACATGGATAAATACTTGTAGATCTTCCTCGCAGGGCCACGAGACACTATGCCCCAGCTAACTCCATTTGTCTCACACCTCATAATGAGGTTCTTTCACTGCTTCAGCAACTAATTCTTCCTTGGCCTTACATTGCACTTTAGCCCCTTGGATCTACTGACTGTGTATGTACCACATTCCCGACTCTCAAAAAACAAGGCATAAATTTTCAAATGTGCTAGCATTTTAAGTTTACTACCAAAGACCAACAAAGGCAGACAACTGAAATTGAGAGGTCTAACAAATGAGTTCGTAACAGCAGGATGTGAATCCTGACCACGATACTCAAATGAAAACAGTGCAATTACTTTTTATTTATTTGGATAAACAGACTTGTCTACAAGACTAATCAAAGTGACAACCTGGGGTTATGATTTAAAATAATTTCATGTTTTTTTCTCTTTTCTGTCCATTCACTGTTTCTCATTTGGGGTGCCCCATCAGGCGCTTGCAGAGGTTCATTTTAGTAGTTCTTGGTATATATGTTAAAATGGCATAAAAATTCATTTGAGTTCATGTGGTGTGAGGATTTGCTTTGAATATCCCATTAAATACACTGCAAAACCAGAAAGCAAAAACAAAACAGCAAAATTATCATGAAAAATTGAAGAAGCTAAAAACTTAACACATTTTTCTAAAAATGTCAAATACTAAGAATTTTGGGACACTAACTTCTACCCAGTTTTCATCATTAGGGCAAAAATGGTGAACAGCTCAAGTTCCAGTGTTTTCCAAAAGATAGGAGGGGAATTCATGATAGCATTAGCAAAAATTGTGACTATAAAAAATTTGGAATTCATCATACAAGTGCAAAGTAGCTGGAAGTATCTGTGTAACTTACTGATGAAAGAGAAAGACAACTGAGGGAGAACGGGAGAGTTGACTCTGGAAAAGATATTAGTTAACCTTGGTAAGTAAAGGTCACAGAACTGATCTCAACCTTCCCTAATGATGTTAAAGCTGACTTTAAAATACTGTCAGCATAAGGCATCATTAGGCTGATATCCCCAAAACTTCATTATTATTAAACACAAGCTCTTTTTCCTTTTTACAAAAAGCAGTGCTTGGCTTGGACCTGCTTTGTTTCTTTAGCACCACTACAAATACTTTGATCCTTTGACAATTTATTTTGGATTTTTGCCTATTAATACTCCCAATCCCATATCAATTTTTATTTAATTGCACCCACCCATATTCCCAGGATTTGCTATCAATAAAAACAGATAAGAATCATTATCAGATTGTATAAAGCTCTCATTCAACACTACACTTTATCTTAGTTTTGCATTTAAGGAACTCCCCTCAAATGATTGATTTTAGAGAAAGGAAACATGGATTTGTTGTTCCACTTATTTATGCATTCATTTGTTGACTCTTGTATGTGCCCCGAACCAAGGATTGAACACGCAACCTTGGTGCATAGGAATAATGCTTTAACCAACTTAGCTACCCAGCCAGTTCCTGCCCTCCTTCAATTTTTATGAATCATATCCCTGCCACACAATCCATAGTTTGCTTTTATGAGAATTGTGCTTTTATGGCACACAGTGATTACTTGACAAATAATTCTACATCATGTTAGTAATTTTTAAAATTTTTGATCAAAAGACAGCAGTGCTCCTATAGTTCTGGCAAAGCAGTGAACCAAATGTTGATAAATCAGAATTATCAAATGTCACTGGAAGACAACATATCAAAAAGAAGTACTCAGTAAATTAAATGCCGAATCTGACCATCTTCATTCAAGTTCAACCAAAATTGTCCTTCATCTGTGATTTTTCTTGTTCCACCACTGTTGGCCTTAAAATCTTCGAAGGGAGAAACTATTCATGCCACTTCTTCAGTACATTTTCAGGTTTAAATGCATCAATATGGAATTCTGGGGTGGGGAGGAGGAGGAGCTTCTATTACATATAGTTTTTGGACAAAAGTATAATTTTGTCACCCCGGACACAGCCAAAAATTTTCAAAGCATCTTGCTCTTGCTGTGTTGTTTTTCCTTTACAGGGCTTTTACATTTTGAAGAACTGTCACTAGATCTTTGAAATTATTCACCTTTCATGAATTAGTGCAGATGAATTAATACAGATAAATTTAAGTTACTTCTTAGTAACTAGCTCAAGGAATACTTTTATAAAAAAGCCAATGATTTCATTCTATTTTCTGCCCTAAAAGGCCAAGAGGCGATCTAGATGGTATTACCTATACTAATATGTGGTACTTAAAAAGATATCCTTAAACCATACTGGAAAGATTAGCAGAAGACTCATATTCATTAAGCTATCTTTCTGGCATGTCTCCAATTTCAGGTAGGAAAAAGAGGACCCCAAACTCCCAAATTGGAAAGTATATTTAGAAAGTCACAAATTACACTGTTACACTCTTCCAAACAGTAATGAATTGTTTCTTGGGTTACTGTCTAGTGACAACGCGAAGAAAACATCTGTCACAGGCACAGAGAGCTATACAATTGCTTTCTCAAATGCATTTTTTTCCTAGGCTAAAAACAGATCAGCTGTCTAAATAACCACAAGGCATTTGTTTCTTCACTATTATTACAAAATTTGGAAGAGCAATCTGGGCCTGAGGACCACTTAATTGCCCCCTTGAAGCTAGAAAACAAGTTATTCTATTTTAGTCTGTCTGGAAAATTATTTGCAAGGCTCAAAATCATCTGTCCAGCTTTACCTCAACTTTCATTATCAACTTGAACTGTCATCCTAATTACCCCAAGTCTCACTGGCATGTATCTGATCAAATACTGAATGTGAACATGTATTAGTTGACCTCATACCCACAGATAAACTACTCAAATCCTGGACTATGAGCAATGGCTCTCCAATTTTAATCTCTAACTATAAAGGGCACTGGGCACACAGCAGGCACTGGATGAAACTGATAGAACAGGCATGAAAACCAGAATGTGTTGTTTTTTGAAAGACCATCCAGAAATTATTAACAAAATCATGGAGCTGTGCAATTGCTGTTTTCATTAAAAGTCAAATATGAATAAAAGTTTTGTTCTGGAGAACATGGTTAACTTTCTGTCATGGCACTAACATGCTAAGGTACTGCCTTGACAGTGCAGAGAAATACCTAAAGTGAGTGTTGGGGACACAGTAATGCCAAGTAAGAAAGGATGCCGAGAATGAGCCCAACCCAAAATTACATGGGCATTAGGAAGCTTCACTTGCAGTCCTTTCTCAGCCCTTTTCCTATAAGGGATAGAAACCAGTAACGGTGTGAGTTTGCCAGAATGTGTTACTCCTTAAGATTAATTTATGATGAACACAAAACATCTTGAGAGTCAGTTCACTTCTAGTTCTTGAACTGTCACCACTATTTTTACTTGCTTTCAAGTGGGACGCTGGTTTGTTCTTGATGGAATTTGACGTAGGGTAAAAGTTGGCTTTCAGGGAGTGAAACACAAAGGTCAGACATAAACAAAAACATTTTTATATAACAGAGACAAACACACCTTAATTGTTAACAATGGTTACCTCTAAAGAGATACGTAGGATGGTGGGGAAAGAAGAGCTGAAAAGGAACTTTCATTTTTTATTCTGTATTAAAGGTACAGATAAAATGGAAATTTAAATTTTTGGTAGCATGAAGCCTTGCATGACTTAACTACTCCAAGCTGAATCAAGACTTGTTTTAGTTTATACCATACTTTCCCCCTTCTTCCTTCAAATAAAAACCTATTCTAAATAAATAATCTGTTAAAGTTAACTCCTGAATTTTATATATTAATCAGTCAACAGTAGCCCAGAAGTCATGTACTTCAAATGTATTGTAAGCAGGTACCTTTTTAATTTCCTGATTCACACGCGTAGGGAGACTCTGATTCTAAGCAAGCACTGGTTTGCCTTAAAATTTTATGATTCAAATGAAGTCCATTAAACTGACCAGATATCTTATGGGAGGTTTCATGGGCAGTCAGAGGTTATTAAAAAAGGCAAAACATGCCCACAGAAATGTGGGAGAAAATGAAAGTCTGTAATACAGACGTAAGAGCTCCTAGGTGGGTTGGTATGAGAAAAAAGCAAAAGTTGCAAAACATATGCATAGTAAGAACACTTCATGTAAAAATTTAAAACCCACAATACTATGCCTTTCTACAGGTAAAAATGTATATAAATGCACAGCAAAAAGTTAACTGAAGAGTACGTATTAGAGACCGAGAGCTATCACTTGGGAGGGGTCCTCAAGGGCATATTTACCATACCTGTATTTTTATTCCCTTTCCTAGAATACATTCTTACTCAGATAATTAAATACAAAATGAAGAACTTTACAGTTCTAGGAAGTCACATATCGTTTCCTTAAAATAGCTCACTGCAAAATACAGTTTAGCGAATACCACCGTTGTCTAGTTTTCAACATTATCATACTTCATATCTGCTATCCCTAAGCTTTCTCTCATTGCTCCACAAAAATTCAAATTTAAGGAAATCATATTAGCTTTTTCTTGAGTATTTGATAATGAAGAGATGACACAGCTGCCAGGAAGTATTAAAATAAAGGTAAGAACTGATACAATGGGAATAAAGTTCGTTTAAGTAGGCAAGCCCATCTTTTGGCTTTAATGTGATGCATTTGGACATATGTGCAGGCTTCTGAAGAGGGCAAGAGGCTTTCTTACTGGGTTTACAATGTACAATAACTTGTGACGCTCTTTTATCTACCGCAGAGATGTTGTTACAGTAGAAAAGTTAACACTCAAAAGTACACCCAGCTCTTCAGAAAAGAGATAATATATAAATCCCAGATAAAGTAAAGTGATACTTGTTTAGAAGTGAATCATTTTTGCTTGATATTGAAAACTCTCAGGAGTATTTAGAAATTATTTTCTTGAAAAAGGAAAAGCCATCAAAGTAAGACCTATGTGTAGCATGAATTTTGGCCAACAACCAAATACATTACTCTGTTTTAGTTGATTAAAACTACAGAACAGCAACATACTAGAATCAATGCCTATTATCAAATCAAATAAATGTGTATGTTCAATGAATTCCAGCTTTTAATTATTAAAGTGTAGGTAATGCATTTTGTCATTTAGAAAACAATACTGAAGGATTCATGCAGTCTGTAAATCTTTAGACATTATTGTGAGGCTACGGCTGGTCACTACTTCTACACTCTTGTGTAGAAGACCCCAACATCTTAAACGGTCTCCAATTACGTATTCCTTCTTTATCACATTGTATCTATAAAGGACCTATGAAAACTGTAACGGCAAACAAGTTAAAAGATAAATTTGAACAGTTAAAGGCATGTATCAAACCACTTCTGAAAATAAGTGGTAAGTATAAGGGAAAACTGTATTATCTGGAGTAAGTACAATGATCTAGACTCTTGGTAGCATTTATAATACAGATAATCACAAACTATGAATTAAAAGAAATAATCAGCATCACAATTCATTTTTTAAATCTCCGAATAGTCTGGCATGATGCATAGCTTGACTTATTTAGGAACTATGCGATAAAAGTAACATATTTTTCAAAATTATTTTAAAAATTGTCAGGTTACAGTTTCAAATCTACTTAACTTCCATTCTACTCTTCACTATCCCTTCCCTAGTTCCCAAATTTTATATTTTCTTACTAAGAATCTAAAAATGAATATGATTCATTTTTCTTAATGAATTAAAAGTTATCACTAAGAAGTAATACATGGCTAACATAAAAAAAGATTTTAAATTAGCTCTAACAGACATAGATCTAGGGTATTTTCAGGAGACATCCCTAGAACAAAACAAACTCAAACACTCTTATTTAATCCAATAACATGATGCTTTTTTCTTTTCAGATTACTGTTTACCCCAAAATTGTTGTAATATACATTTTTAAAAACAATAATCTTCTAAAAACAAAAAAAAACCCCACAATAATCTTCTTCTGTAATCACCTAGCAAAACAAGGTGCAGGATAGCCATTAGCATTACAGAAAAGATTATATACTTTTAACATAATATTCAGGTATTTTTAATGACTATCCTAAACCAATTTTTAAATATACTAAGTATATACACTTACCATTTGAAAAATACATTGATTCTACCTACCTATTACTTTTAATACATAACATGGTAGGTGGTTTGTGTCTTCTTCCTAATAGCACAATTACAAGGACAGGAACATAAAAGATATATCAGATATGGAGAAAGTATCAGAAGAACTTCCTCATCCTCAGTCTAACATCTCTTTACCTCTCCTTTGGAAACATACTATAATTGATCAGTCTTTCATTACCATTTCACCCTATTGTTACCTAAAGACTTTTAGGGGGGTCTTCAGAGCAAAGACAGGTATACTATATTATCTACTGTTGCTATTGAATTTAATTACAGGATAAAAAATTAATAAAATGCTTGAGGTTAAGAAAGATACATAGAAACCAAGAAAGGAAGGAAAAAAAAAAAAAACCCCAGCAGGAAAGTGGTTATAGCCCACCAATAATTATGTGGCAACTCCGGAACACAGGTTCCTATTTGGACTTTAGTGTCCAAATTCAGAATACAGTTCTCCAATTATTAGGCTTTATTTTTTTGGAATAAAGCTCAATTTCATCTCTCTGTTAGAAAACCTATTTCACTCCAATGGAAAAGAACTTATTTCCCATCTACAACAGTAGAAATGGCAAGGCTTTTTTTACTACCTTTGAAAGGCGGCCAAAACAATTTTCTTCTATTGTCCTCATGATTCCCCACCTTCCCCAACCCCCTGCATAAACACTTATTTCACAGGAAACCCAGAAACTACACGGAGTACAGTTATCCCATAAAAGACAATTTTAGCTTCTTTCCCTGACTTTCCCACCCCAGTATCCCAAAAACACACACAGAGGTCAGTGTATTTAGTTTGGCAAGGACAATAATTAAAATGGTAAACCGAGGGCTCATAGAACTCTTATGCTAAGTTAAAATTCTAACATCATAACATTAAAGTGTCAATTCATTCAATTTTTAACTCATTTGGGAAAGTTTAAGCTTGTTAACTTAAAATATGGTAGTAATTCTCTAGTAACTATAACCTCTTTATATCCTCGTAACTGCTCATGCTAACAACTTTATTGCATACTATTGCTTCTTATAAGAAGTAAATCCAGGGACCATTACATTTTATCTTAGACATACATTTACTAGTTTTCCAAGCATGACAGAAATGGAAAAATATATATATTAAAACAAGAACAATTTATGTTAATTTCTACAATTTGTGTTTCTTCTGTAAGCTGTGCCTGATTCTACTAAAATGAACAAATTTAAGTTCAGTCCTATGCTTAAGGAAAAAAAAATCTAATGAGACTAATTTACGAAGTATATAAGAATATAATTTTATAATAAATCTTTCCAGTGTTCGCTGCAACTGCATTAAATGAAATGTTTCCCTTCACAGAAACTCCAAACAGCTCTTATAAAATTAAACATAGCTTTCTGTGTTCATCTCTGGTAAGCACTGAACGAATACAACTTGCTCTCAAAGGATCTAAAAGTGCTGCCTGAGGAGCATAAACTACCACTAACATGCTGCATGAATGAGTCTTGGTGAGTGGCTTCTATCTGGGACCTCCTCTCTTCTCACACCAGTGAACCCATCTCCTATAAAGCCTAAGAGAAACTAAAGCCATTGAAGAAGTGAAACTCAGCATGCTCCACTCAAATACTACTGAGATAACCATTCTAAAGCAAAATTGGCAGAAGTCACCTCTTTTATAATTAGAAGAACAAAACAAAACAAAAATACCAACCCAAACCAAAAGGCAAATGCTGCTGTTCAATCATCAGATGTACTTACAGAGGCAAAATCGTGACAACAGCAATAATTCAAGTAAAGTATATGTGAAAATTTAAACACGCCACTTTCAAATTAAGACAAAAGTGAAGGGAGCTATGATCTTTATATATCAGAGTCAAAAAGCTTAGGCATTATCATCAAATGTTAATCACTTTACAGTCATCAATGAGACTACTGTATATATTTTTGCACCTTGCGCTTGTAAAAGCAGATAAAATATTTAATATGTAATGTACAATGTATTTTACCAGCTCAGCATACAGGATGTATATAGATTATACCAAAGTAGTAGACAGTTAGGGGCTTGTGCAAACCCTGCAAAAATAGAACTTCAGGTATCTGCTAATTAAAAAAAACAAAACGAAAACAAAAACAGTTTGCTGTTTAGAAGTGATACAATTCAAAACTACCACAAAATACAAAGGGCTGCAAAATGTATACCATTCCAACAACATATATAAGTTATTAAATAAAGATTTGATTTAAAAGAATATAAATGAAGCCTTTAAGTAGGTCTTTTCTACATGCATATTAATCCTTATTAAAGAAAAGAATATGTAAAAAGGCCATTGGTAATTGCTTTGTTAACATTTGTAGAAAATGCCAATTCTCTGGTCACAAACTCCACTAAGTTTAGCACTTAAGGTCTCTGCAGTGTTATAAACGTAATTTAAAATACTGTTAATTCTATTATTCCATTGGTAAAATAACGTGACTTGGAATATGGCAGTCTTCATGTTGAGGGCAATGATCCACAGTTTGTTTTAATTTCTTAGGTGTGAAGAGTTATCCAGAAGAACAGCACCCTCCACCACCGCTCTGGACTTGAGGTTCATCATCAATAATCTGTACACCTCGCCTTGCAGCTCCTGGTTGACTGGAGCCATTGCCTTTTGCCCTCTCATCCACTTGTGCTGTTTCTATCATCCCTAAGAGAGGAAGAAAGCAGAAATTATTTAGGACAACAATCTTTGAATTTTCTCTTTCTGGACCTTCAGTATACCACCATGACAGCCATTTCTGACTTTAAACCAACAAAGAAACTAAATATAATAAACATTTTGTCAGTTCACTAAATAGCTTCTACTGTAAGTTTAGCAAGTTTATTTGTCCAGATGTATAATGGCCATGATGACATCAACAGAGAAAATTTTCTGCCTTGAACAAATGACTGTATACAAGTATAGTCCTTAAAATTTTCCAAATATACTTAGAAATGTGTCAAAGTCTAAATTGTTCTAAGTACAAGTGATATTTAGGGCACAAGATTTATTTTTCAACTAGTAATGCATATTTGAAATAAAAGAATTTTCATGAGGAACAATAAAGCTGGAGAATTCACACTATCTGACTTAAAGATGCAGTAGAGAGTTACTATATCTAATGAAGACAGATATTGGTGAAAGGAGAAATACAGAGATCAGTGAAACAGAGTCTAGACATAAACCCCATATATGTGGACAGTTACTCTAATGAAGACACATATTGGTGAAAGAAGAAACAGAGATCAGTGAAAGAGTCTAGATACAGACCCCATATATGTGGTCACTTGAGTTTTGAAATATGTACCAAGATTATTTAATAAAGGGTAATCTTTTCAAGAAACAGTACCAGAACTAAACATTTACATGTACAAAAATAAACCTCAATTTATATTTCTTACTATACGCAAAAATTAACAAAAAATGAATTGTAGACTTATATGTAAAACAAAATTTCTAGAAGAAAACAGGGTGAAATCTCTACAAAAAAATCTTTGTCACTTTGAGCAAAGATTTCTCATATAAGACCCCCCAAAAACTCGTAAGAAAAACTAGTAAATCAGATCTCATTAAAATTTAGAACTTCTGCCCTGGCCAGTATGGCTCAGTTGGTTGGAGTCTCATCCCATAAACCTGAGGGTCACAGGTTTGATTCCCGGTCAGAGCACATGCCTAGGTTGTGGGTTCAGTCCCCAGTCAGGGTGCTTATAACAGGCAACCAATCAATATTTCTCTTTGCATCAATGTTTCTCTCCCTCTCTGTCTCCGTCTTCCTCCCTTCTCTGCTCCCTAAAATCAATGAGTATGTCCTCAGGTAAGGATATAAATAAATAAATAAATAAATAAATAAATAAATAAATAAATATTTTAGAACTTCTGCTCTTTGCGAGACACAGTTAGGAAAAATGAAAATATAGTACACAGACTGTGAGTAAATAATTGCAAAATACATATTTGAAAAGGTGAGAAAACAAAAGAAGGACTCCTCAAAATAGAACAAGGTTCTTCAACTCAGGTCCAGAGGCTACTCTTAAAAATTCTAACTTCTACTTTGTTTTAAAATTTTCTATTTTCATGTGCTTTACAATGTATAAAATGTATTAGTATTTATATGTTCTTTATTTTATTTTTTATTGCTGTTCTATTACAGTTGTCCCAATTTTTCCACCTTCACCCTCCTCCACCCAGCCCAAGCCCCCGCTCCCAGTCAATCCCCACACTGTTGTCCATGTCCATGGGTCATTCATACATGTTCTTTGACTAGTCCCTTCCCTTTCTTTCCACCATTTGTTCTTTATTTTTATTTTTTTTAAAGATTTTTATTTACTTATTTTTAGAGAGGGAAGGGAGGGAGACAGAGAGAGAGAGAGAAACATCAATGTGCAGTTGCTGGGGGGTCATGGCCTGCAACCCAGGCATGTACCCTGACTGGGAATCGAACTTGCAACACTTTGGTTTGCAGCCCATGCTCAATCCACTGAGCTACACCAGCCAGGTGTTCTTTATTTTTAAATAAACATATGGGGAATATTCAAATTTTTAAATAAAGACATGTGACTGAAACATTTATAAGCCAGATCAAGAGCCTTGGTACTTAAAAGTATGGTCTCAGAAAGGACCAGCACCATCACCACTTGGGTTAGAATGAGAAGCTCAGGCCCACATCAGACCTATTTTAACAAGGTCCCAAAGTGATTAGTATGTACAGCAGTGCTTCTCAAATTTTAGTGTGCATCAGAATCATATGGAGGGATTGTTAAAACACACATTCTGGGAACCATCTCCTGAGACTTTGATTCAGCAGGTTTGGGGTAGGGTCATAAGTGATGCTGATGCTGCTGATCAGGGGACCTCATTTAGAAAATTACTCTAGAACAATTATGAACAACTTTTAGGTTTTCATAGAACTGAAATTTATTCCAAAGTTGTATACATGTGCATTCTTCTTGAGAGAAAAACCAGTTTCATCAATTCTTAAAAGCCTGATGTCCATAAATTCAAGGAATATAATTTGACGAAATCATTTCAATCCATTATTCCATAGACTTTGATTTTCCTAAGTATGGTATGTATTTTCCTGGTGATATGAGAAATAACTTTCAGGTTGTATATGCACAATCATTTTCTGCCCTGGCTGCTGTGAACCAGAGGGTCACCCATTCAATTGCCAGTCAGGGCACAGGCCTGGGTTGCAGGCCAGGTCCCTAGTGGGAGCCACATGAGAGGCAACCACACATTGATGTTTCTCTCCCCATCTTTCTCCTTCCCCTCTCTCTAAAAATAAAATAAATAAAATCTTTAAACAACTTTTTAATATGGGAAATTTCAAACATATATAAAAGTAGAAAAAAATAGCATAATGAAAATCATTATGTTCATCACATAATTTCATCCATACCTGGCAAGTATCATTACCATTATTTTGAATAAAACTCCATACACATAAAATTATTCTAATGATCTGTAGAAGGTAGAAACTCTTGTCTCTGGGGCATGCAAGATCACAGGGGGTGGACCCTGAGTACACAAGCGGCAGCTGGCAGACCCAGTGAGGCAGCGATTATGGAGCAGGGCAGAGCGCACAACCCAGGATTCCAGGGAAGGGACTGAGGTTTCACAGAGAACGCAGCTACCTCCATTGTTCCCTCTCGACCCCGCCCCCACATACAACGTCACAATCTAGCAACTGGGGTGCCCAGCCCTGGTAAACACCTAAGGCTCTGCCCCTCACCATAACAGGAGCAACCAGACAAAAAGAGAGAGAGAGAGAGAGAGAGAGAGGGCTCAAATAGAAGAACAAATCAGTGCCCCAGAACTCATCCTTTTGAGCAACCAAGAGATAGCTAACCTATCAGATGCACAGTTCAAACCACTGGTGATCAGGAAGCTCACAGAATTGGTTGATTTTGGGCACAAATTAGATGAAAAAATGCAGGTTACCATAAAAGAAATGAAGGAAAATGCACAGGGAACCAATAGTGATGGGAAGGAAACTGGGCCTCAAAACAATAGAGTGGACCAGAAGGAAGAAAGAAACAACCAAACAGGAAAGAATGGAGAAATAAGAATTCAAAAAAACGAGGAGAAGCTTAGGAACCTCCAGGACATCTTTAAACGTTCCAACATCCAAATTGTAGGGGTACCAGAAGGGGAAGAGATAAAGCAACAGATTGAACACGTATTTGAACAAATAATAAAGGAGAACTTCCCATTCTGGCAAAAAAAAATAGACTTCCAGAAAGTCCAGGAAGCTCAGAGAGCCCCAAAGAAGTTGGACCCAAGAAGAAACACACTAAGGCACATCATAATTACATTAGCCAAGGTAAAAATGAAGAAGAGAATCCTAGAAGCAGCAAGAGATAAGGAGACAGTAACCTACAAAGGACTTCCCATCAGACTGTCAGCTGATTTCTCAAAAGAGACCTTGCAGGCAAGAAGGGGCTGGGAAAGAAGTATTCCAAGTTATGAAAGGCAAGGACCTACATCCCAGATTGCTCTATCCAGCAAAGCTTTCATTTAGAATGGAAGGGCAGATAAAGTGCTTTTCAGATAAGGTCAAATTGAAGGAGTTCATCATCACCAAGCCCTTATTTTATGAAATGTTAAAGGGACTTATCTAAGAAAAAGAAGATAAAAAACATGTATAGTAAAATGACAGCAAACTCACAATTATGAACAACCACACCTAAAGCAAAACCAAAAGAAACTAAGCAAACAACTAGAACAGGAGCAGAACCACAGAAATGGAGATCACATGGAGGGTTAGCAACAGGGGAGTGGGAGGAGAGGGGGAAAAGGTACAGAGAATAAGTAGCATAGATTGTAGGTAGAAAATAGACCGGGGAGGGTAAGAATAGTATGAGAAATGTAGAAACTAAAGAACTTATAATTATGACACATGGACATGAACTAAAGGGAAGGAAGTGGGTGGGAGAGGGTGTACAGGGTGGAGGGGAGTGAAGGGGGAAATGGGACAACTGTAAGAGCATAATAAAATATATTTTTAAAAAAACTCTTTTCTTAAAGTGTAACCACAATACTATAATCACACCTAAAAATTTTACAATAAAATATTTTTTAAATTTTATTTTTTAAATTGAGGTACCATTATATAATAACATTATATAAACTTTAGGAGTACAACATTATAATTCAATATATACTCTATTGCGTGCTCACCACCAAAAGCCTAGTTTCCATTGCTTACATATATGTGACCCCCTTTATCCATTTCACCCTACCACAGTCCCTACAATTACTGAATGTCATCAAATATCCAGTGAATGTTCATACAGTCCCAACTGTTTCACAAATGTTTTTTCATTACTTGGTCAAATCAGGATTCAAATAAGGTCCACCCACTGCAGCCAGTTGTTACCTCTCTCAAGTCTGTTTTAATCTGTATATTCCCTCTCCATTTTTACTGTTAATAGTTATACATTTTAATATGCATTTAGCACACATCACATGCATAAAATTTCATAGCCATTAATTACTGCTTGAAATAGGGTTAAAATAGGTATTTATAAGTAGATATTTACAAGAAATGAGTTAAAGAAAAAACATTAAGTAAATAACAGTAGTGGTAAATGTGACAAATCATCAATATGATCATTAACGGAAAATGTAAAACATCACTTTAGAAATACTACCAATATTTTTTTAAAAGAGCCATTTCTAAATATACTAAATCTGAATATACCTACTTTTACAAAGGTCAAGAAACAGTTCCTCAATTCCTTTATTCTGCTTGGCTGATGTATGATAATGTTTTGCTCCTACAGATTCTGCATACCTTAAAAAACAAAAAAAATCAGTGATCAATGTAAAAAAATTTGTTTCATGTTTTTGTCATAAGTGCTCTTTGAACTTTTCACAGTAGCAAATTTAGTAATTTATTACTAATTAACCCATTGTTAATAAAGTTAAAATTATATAGCCACTTAATACCTCTATACATTAAACCAAATTTTAAATGAGCACAAGTTAACAAGACTTAAAGTTTTTGTAAGTTATTTTGGAACCCAAATATTTTTAAAGTTTTTGTGATACACTGACTATTTGATCATGATAGTTTTCTTCTGCATCACTCTATATTTTTTACTGAAATCAAAAAGAGAAGTGAGAGTGGATTATTTTTAAATATGGCCAAAAGTCTAGAAATTACCGATGTTAATATACTTCACTGAGTTCAACAGCTATATTAAGACATCTGAGTAATACCCCCACAGTAAGGCACACTGAGCAAAGAGAAAGACTTCTACTGTGGAGTGACTGTTCAACGGGCAGGGGGCAGGGGAGTAATGGGAGGGTGGCAGGGATAACACTTACAATTCTGCTTCTTGAATGGAAACATGTCTCTCCTTTTCCAAGTCTATTTTATTACCTAATTTAAAAAAGTAAATGCCAATCTTTAATATCAATTCATCTTTATAACAAAATTAAGCCAATTCTAAATATACAACTGCCACTTTAATCACTTGGGAAAAAATACAAATCCCCATCAGACTTCTAAATGTCCTAAAATTATAAAGGTAACCCCTATGAGGTTTGATCATGGCTAGCAAGGTGAATGCCTCAATCTCCCTCAAATAATGCACTGCATTCCTTAAGGGGCAGTCAGTCTGTCAGAGAAAATAACTTTTCCAAAGAGATGGGTACTATCCCTTGATTTAAGATAGAACAGAGACTAAGATTCAGTAGGAAACCAAGGGATAAACCTGTTTCTTAACCAAGTATTAGCAGTCCCTAATCAGCTTAGAGTCAATCAACAATCATGCAAAGCCACCTTATTATCCACAAAAACGTATTAGGTTAGCCTCTTGGATCCTAAGAGTATTTTGGTTTCATGGATAATATAAACTGATTAAAGAAAACATTAATTGTATGGCTTTTTAAGCACTTTACCACCACAGAGGAGAAAACTATACTCCTTCTTTTAAAAACATGAGAGAATTTAATATATGCACATTGTGACTGAAAGGGTATTATGCTAAGTGAAATATGTCAAACAGAGAAAGACATATACCATATGATTTATTTCACTTATATGTGGAATCTAAAACACAAAATAAACAAAACAGAAACAAATACACAGATACAGAGAAGAAAATCAATGACTGCCAAATGGGTGGAGAATTGGTGAAATTGGTGAAAAAGTGAAGGGATTAAGATGTACAAATTGCCAGTTATAAAAACATTCACAGGGATGTAAAGTACAGCACAGGAAATATAGTCAATAATATTACAGTAACTATGTATGGTGTCAGATGGGTACTAGATTTATCGAGGTAATCACTTCATAAGTTATATAAATGCCTACTTACTATGTTGTACAGCTGAAACTAATATATTTTATGTTGATGGTAAGTGAAAAATAAAAAAATATAAAAGATGTACACATCATGCAGGCTTAAAATTACTGAAACTAAATATGGCCCTACTTAAAGATGGGAAACAGAGGGGGAGGGAAAGGAAACCTTATCAATAAAGCCATTTTTGTTGGGACCTTAGAGAATCTAGAAGACAATTTCAGCTAGAGCACTGAGGTAAGCACCTAATGAAAAATATAATGCTTAAAACTGAGAACTATAAGCCTTGAGATGTAGAACCACAGAGGTTCTACATCTATGAAGGAGCTCAAATAATGTGAGCACCTAACTGTGAGCAGCTGCAACCAACCACTTGACTCCACAGCCTAAGGATGGTGAGAGGGAGGGAAGTAGACTATGCTAAAGCTCAGTAGGTACCAACGAATTCAGTAATGAACCCTTTCCTCTTTGAACAGTTATCTGTATACCTCAATAAGAAGATACATATTAATTCTGATTTCCTACATTAAACTTTGCCAATAAAATTTTAATTTGCTAAATATTATAGCCAATATATGTGACAGTCAACCAGAGGAAAGTTGTTTTATGTACGCTATGAAGAATGCAAAAAGCACCACCTAGTGTCCAGTGGCTCCAACAAATAAAGGCACAATATGTTGCCTCTTAGAAAAGAAACAGAAAGACCTTTCTTAACTAAAATCATGACCAATTAACTAAAATCCTGAGTTTTTCCTCAGATCTTTTTGCCTTTTTTCAAATTCCACCTGAATTATCAGCATCTATTTAAAAAAAAGATGAGGATAGGGAGAGTAGACAATAACCATACTGTCTCAAATGATTACTTGGGGAAAATTACTCAGTTTTATTATTTAATAACATTTTAAACTTAATGAACAATGCAGTTATTAAAATAGCTATTTTAATAACCTTTTATTTATTTTTCTAGCAACATATCCTTTTTTAAAATTGTTCTATCACAGTTGTCCAAATGTTTCCCCCAGGTGTCTCTCCACTGCCCCATAATTATTATTTTAAACAAAATTTTAAAATCACTCTATGAAATATTTTTTTGAACAATCAGTATTCATAATGGATTGGTTAAGCACAAACTAAGTCACAGAAGCTGCCAGTTAGTGACAAATTTCTAAATCTCAAAATCTTTTTAGTTCCTATACTCTTAAAAGCAAGACAGTTAAAGGATTAAGCCTTTAAGACTCATATCTGTTTTAAAACTAGTGTTCAGTTAACATAGAAAACTTTCTAATAGGCTTATAATGCCTGACAACAAGGATAACCAACTGGAGTAGGCACCTACTTGAAAGTATAGTACTAGAAAGATCAGAGGAAAAAAATGGCTGAAGCTATTGGAAAGGAAGGAAAAAGTCACCCCATTAAGAACAGTAAAAACATTATCTTCTTTAAAAATACATATTTGAATTAGAACATGGAAGGGATATACCTACTGCTAAGAGTAGAGGGCCTAAAAAGAGCTAGAACCATACTTTGCTTAGATTAGATGGTGCCTGGCCTAGTAGTAAAAAACTTTCTTTCAGAAGCCTTTTAAATCTGAAGAAAACCTGTTTGTAAGTCCAGGTTCATTTCGTAACTATAAGACTTTAGGCAAATTACTTAACTTCTCTTAGTCTCACTTTGTACAAATATAGCTAACAAACTTTGCAGAACTGATGTGAAAATACTGTAGAAGGCTTAGCATGTAGCACAAGTTCAATAAAGAGTAGTTATTAGTACTAGCCACATTTATCACAGTGAATGATCAAATGGAAAATCAATCTTGTTATGAGAGAATTAAAGCCCATAATAGATACTTTCTACCATCACCCTTCTGGCTTCATCTAGCTTAACTTAGTTAATACAATGAATGCTCTAGGAAATCTTCCCTTAACCCTCCACTCCCTAAACTTAGTTTTGCTTCTGTGCCATCACAGCCCTCCATAGTACTCCACCTTCACAGCATTTATCATAATACATAATAGCTTGTTTTTCTCTCTCTCCCTATACAGTAAGCTTTGAGAAGGCAAAGACGTTATCTATTTTGTTTACTTATTCACTACACTATTCCTAAAGCCTGGTACATAGAAAGCAATATACAGTATTGATTAAGGATATGGGCTTAAAGTAGCTGACGGACCTGAATTAAAATCTCAGGTCTACCTCCAACTAGTCATGTACTTTGGAAAGTATCAAGCTCTCTAAGCCCACTTCGCTGTGTGTAAAATGGAAATGGCAATAATACCTTCCTTGCAGTGTTGTCTGAAAGCTTAAATGAAATAATAAATGTGTAGTTCTTGGAAAAGTACCTGGCACACAATAAACAGTAAATTATTGATAATAAATATTTGTTTAACAAACATACAAATGTTAAGGGCAGACTAAAAGCAAAATACTATCAACTAGAGCAACCACTAACAGTACTAATCAACAGATTAATTAAAACCAAGAAGGAAAAAGTCTGCAGTGAAGTATGGGGTTCTCTATTATTGGTTAACCCATTATCAGAGGCTTAGATATGAACCTAGAAGGCTTAGTATCTAATTTACACCTGAAAAGCTAGCAGATTATATATCAATCATAAAGATTCTGAGACATAAGATAAGTTAGAATTCCTACACTGAGGCTTAAATAACTTAATTATGTAAGAACAAGATGGGAAAAGCCTGACAAAAGAGCAATACTTACAAAAATGGAATTCAAATATTTGTTATCTGTAGTCCAGGGATGTTAAACTCATTTTCACAGGGGCCACATCAGCCTCACAATTACCTTCAAAGGGCTGAAATAACTTTAGGACTGTATAAATGTAACTTCTCCTTAATTGTTAAGGAGTTAAAATTACATTCAGCCCTTTGAAGGCAACCACAAGGCTGATGTGGACCCCGGTGAAAATGCATTTGACACCCCTGCTGTAATCTTCTATATAAAAGAGACATTGATTTGACATGGCTGACAAGTGTATACAATCTTGGGCAACACTGGTAGAATGACTGTGTGAGGATTTTTAAAAGAAGAGAGCCATGTAAGTATACACTGGCTCAACAATGTTTGGATTCTCGTGTTCATTTCAAGGGTAGAAGACACAGAGATACACTTAAATAAACCCAGGAAAAAATAATCAGGATGATAAGAATATCTGGAAGTTAGTCCAAATGCAAAAAGTTGACGACCAAGAATTTAAGACTGTAGGTGAATTATCCAAGCTCCAAAGATTTGAAAGGTTCTTATGTAAAGGGAAAGAAACAAGTATTTGTCAAATGCCTTCTCTATGCAAAATGTTTTCCAAATCATTATTTCATCTTTATAATAATCATGTGAGAATTATTATTTTGAAAATAATAATAAAACAGAAGAACTACTATATGTAAAACTACCAGCAATAAAATACTGAACTACTACTGAGAATCTACTACTACTGAACTACTACTAAAAATCAATAGGTGAAAAATAATGTAAATGTTCATCAACAGCAAAAGAATAAACTGTGGAATAATATTCATAGAATAAAATATTACCAAAGAGAGTAAAATGAACTACAACTAAATACAAGAACATAGGGAAACCTCACAAACATAATGTAAAGTCAAAGAAACCACACAAAAGAGTTCATACTATATGATTACATTTATATAAAGTTCAAAACAAAACTAGTACATTCAGTAAAAAGTCAAGATAGTGTTTGGTGGTAGGTGATGGTGAAATGAAGGCAGCTGGGTAGTGTTGGGATGAGAAACAAGCACAGGTGGGCTTCTAAGGTGCTAGAGATGAGGCTTTCTTAACTAAAATTTTCCTTTTGTGGTAAATGGGCTGTCCAGATTCTTCAGATTCTGAATTACAACTAAAATTCGATGTAGTATTTGCCAACAGGAAAGAAAAGAGAGTGTGAGCTTTTTATATATTATACCAATCATTAACAAGCAGTATATAACAATTAATAAGAACATTTGACCCTACTTGGGGTAGTAAGCTACAAGACACAATATTCCTGTATCTTCTTATAATATGAACATGAATATAAGCTTGATATTCATAAACTTATTTACCCAGCTAATTTTTTCACATTATATTTTATTGTTTAGGCTGTTAAAATTGTCCCAACTTTTCCCCTTTTGCTCTCCACTACCCAGCCGCCCCTCCTCAGGCAATCACCACATGTTGTCCATGTCCACAGGTCATGCATATATGTTCTCTGGCTACTGTATTCCTTATGCTGTACTTTACATCCCCATGACTATTCTGTAACTACCAATTTGTACTTCTTAATCTCTTCCCCATTTTCACCCACCCCCCAAATCTCCCTCCCATCTGGCAACCATCAAAACATTCTCTGTATCTATGATTATGTTTCTGTTCTGCAGTTTTTATTTTTAGAATCAATTGTTGATAGATATATATTGATTGCCATTTTATTATTCATATGTTTGATCTTCTCTAAGACCTTTTAACATTTCATATAATACTGGTACGGTGGTGATGAACACCTTTAGCTTTTTCTTGCCTGGAAAGCTCTTTCTCCTTTGATTCTAAAGAATAGCTTTGCTGGTAATCTTGGTTGTAGGCCCTTACTTTTCATCACTTTAAATTTGCCTTACAAATCCCTTCCAGCCTACAAAGTTTCTGCTGAGAAATCAGCTGACAGTCTTATAGGAGCTACCTTGTAGGTAACTGCTTTTCTCTTGTTGCTTTTAAGATTCTTTGCCTTTAACCTTTGGCATTTTAATTGATGTGTTTTGGAGAGGGTTCATCTTGTTTGGGACTCTTGTTTGGGTTCATCTTGGTTGGGACTCTTCTGTGTTTCCTGAACTTGTCTATTTCCTTTACCAAGTTAGGGAAGTGTTCTGTCATTATTTTTTCAAATAGATTTCCAATTTCTTGTTCTCTTCTCCTTCTGGCACCCACCATGATGTGACTTTTGGTATACTTATCCCAGAAGCTCCTACACTATCCTCATTTTTTCTATTTTTTTTCTTGCTGTTCTGATTGGGTTTTGGGTTTTTGTTTTATTTTTTCTTCTTTCTATTCTAAATCGCTGATTTGATTCTTGGCTTCATCCACTCTACTGTTGTTTCCCTATAAATAGTTCTTTATTTCAATTACTGTATCCTTCATTTCTGACTGGATCTTTTTTATGTCGCTGAGGTCCTCACTAAATTCCTTGAGCTTCCTTATAACCATTGTTTCGAACTCTGCATCTAGTAGATGCTTGTCTCCATTGTGTTTAGTTCTTTTTCTGGAGTTTTGATCTGTTCTTTCATTTGGGTCATGTTTCTTTGTCTCCTCATTGTGGCAGCCTCCCTGTGTTTGTTTCTGTGTTTTAGGTAGAGCTGCTATGTCTCCCAGATTTGGTAGAGCAGCATAATGTAGTAGGTGTCCTATAGAGTCAAGTGGCATAGCCTCCCCTACTACCCTAGCTACTCAAAGTGTGCCCAAGTCATGTGGGCTGTGTACACCCTCTACTTATAGTAGAGCCTTGACTGCTATTGGCACAGCCAAGGTCAACCACTGACTGTTCTGTCTGAGATCATACAACAGTGGCTACAAAGTGATGTACAGATGGCTGCTGCTTGTGCTGGGCTTCAAGGTGCCCCGGGGAGGCCAAGCTGTGAACCAAGGCTAGACACTGATAGTGCCAGGCCTGGGGCAACTTAGCAAGAGGTATGGGGGTACAAGAGGTATAGGGGCTTGCTAAAGCCAGAAGTTGCTTATGTGAGAGAACATAGGAAAATCTGAAGCATAGGCCAGAATAAGCCATTCATATGGAAAAATCACTGTAAACAGCCTGGGTGGGCCCAAAAGCTGGGTGGGTCAGGGCCTCGTCATGAGATTGGAGCAAACGGTGTTAGCCACGTTGATGGAGTTTCAGATATGACACCCACCTGCAGGCTCTGTGGTTCTGTTGTGGGAGAGCTCAGGAATGGAAAAATGGCCTCTTCCAGCACTTTTGTGTGGGAGAAACCTGGCCCTCAGCTCTTGCCCTGATGCTGGACAATTCAGTTCCTCCCTATATGTCTCTGATGCCTTTCAATCTGCTATCCCCACACTGGAGCTCAAAAGGAGTGAATCCAAGTAGTCTATGCATGGGTCCTTGAAGAGGAACTGCCTGGGAGTCCACAAGTTTCTGTCTTCCACAGCCTCAATCCCTACTGGTTTTTACGCCAGAAGTTATGGGATTTATTTTACTGGCACTGGAACCCTGGGCTGGAGAGGCTAGTGTGGGGCTGCAACCCCTCACTCCTGAGATATCCCTCATGATATTTCTGATATATTTATTTATTTTTAGAGAGAGAGAAAGGGAGGGAGGAAAAAAAGAGGCAGAGAAACACTGTTTGCCTCTTGTATGAGCCCTGACTGGGGAATGAATCTGCAACCCAGGCACGTGTCCTCACCAGGAATTGAACCATCAACCCCTTGCTCTGTGGAAAGATGCCCAATGAACTGAGCCACACTGGTCAGGGTTTGCTCCTGATTTTTTATCCACTACACGTGGGTGTAAGACCCGCCTGTTCTATGTCCCCACCCCTCCTACCAGTCCCGATATGGTTTCTTCTTTAATTCCATAGTTGTAGAAGTTCCACTCAGCTCGATTTCTAATGGTTCTGAATAACGGTTGTTCTATAGTTTAGCTATAATTTTGACGTGGTTGTATTAGGAGGCAAGCTGTGTTTACCTACACTGCCATCTTGACTGGAAGTCTAACTCCCAGCTATTTTTTTTAAATGTTACATTGTCACTCTAATCAAGTAACAAAACTCTTGAGGCTTCTCTGAGTATATGTTAGTCATTTATTTCTCTGTTCTGAGGGATATCCAGAATATCAAATTCTCAAATATCCAGCTGTTCACTCATCATAGCCACTTCCACTTGCAGTAAGTCCCATATACCACACAAATCCACACTAAACTCACTAATGACTAGCTACAACTGTGGCCCCAAACTCCTATACAGTGTACTACCTCAGTACTCTGATACATTCCTGCTATCTAGCCTAACATGTATCATCTAGACTAAAAATCAGGCCTCCTTGCACTTACCCCAGACCTACACTCTGATCTGGAATTGTAAAGTTTACCAATCATTTAATGGTGACAAACTGCATGAAATGTAAGCTCAAATTAAAAACAAAAATTCTTAAGGCTAAAGGTAGAATTTCCCCATACTGACCATTCCATTCTATATCCCTCACTAGAACTCCCTGGTTTCTCACAGGCCATGCTTACTGTATTAGTCATGTAAAAAGGAAGAAAGAAAACAGCATGAGGTTACTCAACATAAGGATTAATAACATAAGCATAGGAGTGATACCTGTCTGATATTGGTCAAGTTAGTGTACCTCCAGGGCTCAGCTTCCTCTATAAAGTGCTCAGAGAGTAATGAAGATTACATGAGATGTCTACTGAATACACAGCACAATGTCTGGTACACTTTATTGCTCAATAATTACTTGTTATATCATAAAAATAATCTAAAGAAAAAAGGGAACCAAAGAGAAATTCCAGAACTCCAAGAGAGAGTTACAGAGTTCCATTATTTTACCCATTAAGAACATCCCTCCACTATAGTATCATGATCTACTTATACCCTTGGAGTCAAATTTGTCCTTAACTCAAGAATGTGTATACTTTAATGTACAGAACAAGAACATTAGTGTAAGTCATTGGTTTTAATTTTAGTTCCTGAACTTTTTTTCTAAATAGAATCTTACGGTGAAAAACTAAAAGTCAAATTGAAGCAAGGCTGGGGGCTTAAATAAAGCCTTAAATGTTTAGCTTCCCACTTGCTCCCCAAGGCATTCCTTGAGGTAGAGCTGAAGCTTCTAAAAGAGTACTTCCAAATACTAAATTATTCTAAAACATTATTCATGAAAATGCCATTCTTCTTTTCTCATATAATTTTAAAATGAGAGTTACTGGTCTATTCTTTTATAAAAAATTAAGGAAGTACAAAGATTTAAGAAGTAATGATACTTACCAACTATACATAAACAGATTTCATTTCCCAACATTTTCCGCAATTCTTTGACCCAGTTTTTTACCTGTGTATATGAAAGAGTTAATGTTTAAACAAATTCTATTACAAGACTACCAATGCAACACCCCAAAATTCAATCAATATTGTTGAAATACCTCAAAATTTGGCTAACAGCTCATATATTTAGTTGTTACCAGGAATGATTCACTATTAAGATCATTTATTTCCAGGTTACATTGTAAACAACACACATACAAACATCCAATGGAAATATTTCTCTATCTTTATATAGGTACAGAGAAAAGTACCTCTAATTACAAATTTTCATAAATCTTCCACAGATTCAAGCAAAGCTAGTCACCAGAGCAAAAGCATGTCAACTCTGGCCTCACATAATAGGTACTTGTACAGAGTCACTTTGGACTTAAGAACACATGAACTTAAGCCAACTGGTTCCAAAATAAAGGACATAGGCGCTTCTGTATCACACATTTACAGAAAAAACTATATATGGGCACCAAAAAGACAGGGAAAACAAATTTTCAGCCTTCAGTATATGACAAGTGTTTTCAGTGTTGGCACTACTGATATTTTGGCTCAGATAATTCTCAGCTATAAGGGACTGTCCTGTGCAATACATGATGTGTAGCAGCATTCCTGGGCTCCTAGCCACTAGATACCAGGGCCATCCTTCAGTTGTGACAACCAGAGATGTCTCCAGACACTGTCGCTCCCTCCTGAAGAACCACTGGTATACAACTACTCCAGAAACCAATTGATATTTCACTATGGATGAAGGATGGCAGTAGGCACAGTTGAGAGTAAACTGGAATTAAATTTAATCTTTTGGAACTCATGTTTTTAAAAATGTTGACTAGAATAAAACAGGACAAAAAACAAACTTGGATACCCTCCTTTCAGTTTTTTGTAATAGAATTTATTCTATATGCAAGTTACATAGAACTCACATACCCTTCCAAAAAATACACACACCTATAAGTTACAAAAATTACATTAGATATGTGGTAAGTACTAACTGTGCATCTGGTTCTACGATACAAACATAACAGGTCTACATTCCTATTCTCTGCAAGAATGTAGAGGAACTAACTCTGTAGTAACCCAAAATCTTTATAAAAGCAAAGGTAATCAATATCACCACCTTATCTTTGTAATTGCATTGAAGCAGTTGTCTCAGTATAGCCCCATCTTTTTGTTTCATTTATGTGTATCAAGTTTTCAGAAAAGCATTTAACTTGCATCCTTAGGTGATTTTTTCACATAAGAAAAATTTAATGGTGTTGATATAAAATGATGTATTACTCTGCTCTCTATGCATACAGTATCACAACCTACTAAATCTGAACAGTCAAAAAAAAATGTGTAATCCACCTCCAGTAAGATCCCCCTCCACAGGTATCCTGTTCATTACAGCATACATTCTGTGGTGAGTTAAGGATGGTCACAAATTCTTTGCCAATCCTCCTATCAAGAGGTACAATCTATTTTCCCTCCCTTTGAATTTGGGCTAGCCTTGTAACTTGTTTTGACCAAGAGAAAGTAGCAGAAGTAATGCTATGCCACTTCTAGACCTCTCAGCCTTATGAAGGCCTGGCAGCTATACTTTTGGGATTCAGTTGTCACAATAGAAGCTTAGGCTAGCTGGGGCTGGTGTGGCTCAATGGATTGCGTGCCGGTCTGAGAATCAAAGGGTTGCCGGTTTGATTCCCAGTCTAGGGCACATGCCTGGGTTGTGGGCTAGGTCCCCAGTAGGGGAAGCGCCAGAGGCAACCACACATTGATATTTCTTTTTTCTTTCTTTTTTTATAGAAGATTTTTACTTATTTATTTTTAGAGAGGGAAGGGAGGGAGATAGAGATAGAGAAACATCAATGTGCGGCTGCTGGGGGTCATGGCCTGCAACCCAGGCATGTGCCCTAACTGGGAATTGAACCTGTGACACTACATTGATATTTTTCTCCCTCATTTTCTCCCTCCATTCTCCTCTCAAAAAATAAATGAGTAAAATCTTAAAGAAATAAAAAGAAGCTTAGACTAGAATATGGAATAATGAGAGAGCATGTGGAGAGAGTACCAGAAGTTGAGGCACCAGATGGAGTGGGAAATCATATGGAGAACCAGGCTGCCTTGGATGGTCCCCACCCAGCCAAACTCCCAGTTCAATGCAGCTACATGAGTGACTCTGCTGACATCAGACAGAGCAGAGGACCCACAAAATTATAAGAAATAAACATTTTAAACCACATATTTTAGGGAGTTTTGTTATGCAGCAAGAGGTGAGTGGTTACTTTTCAACCTGTAAGACTCAACTTCCTCTAATAAAATAACTACACCATTTTTTTAGTGCAAAAAGGCAGGAAGGGATAACAAATAGCAACAAATAGCACCAAATAGCAGCCCCAAAATAACTTTTTAAAAATATCATTAAATCTGCAAACTGTTCCATTTTTCTACTCCTTGAACTAAGTTTTTCCACATGTCATTCATAAACCAAAGAGTAACATATATCTACTTTATCAGTTAAATACTGGGAAATAAATAAAAAGAGAAATAAAAAAAACTAGAAAGGCAAGCAATTTCAACATGGACACAATTATAACTCATGGCAAGATAAATTTTTGCCCTGGAAATTACCCCTTTCAGTTACACACCCTTGAAAAATTCCAAAGGGGCTTTCAGAGGAAAGGTCAAATGTGTAATCAGTCACTATCCTAATGGTGATGACAATTGAAAGATAAGTTTAATGGTAACTCATTTTCAGTTTCAATCAACTTTAAAAACTCTGTATTTTGGTGTATGTATAAAGAGGGGTAAAAAAATGGAGGAGCTTTAAAATAAACACCTTTTTATATAATCATCTAGAAAATTTGGTGAAGAGCTTAAATTTGATTTAGTTCTCCTTTTTTCTCTTCACAATTAGGATTCCTGTGCAACCGTACCAAGATTTCAGGTGTCCAGCATGTATGTAATCAAAGAAATGTATGATTTTTCTTTATCAGGGAGGGAAAAAAGCCCCTATGTTTTTTGGAAGTTTTCCTTCAGAGTATTTCCCTTTTCTAAGAAAGCCAGGTAATAAACTATTCCTATGGTTAACATAAACATTTATAAATACTCCATTAAAAATTATGAGTGGTTATCACAATTTTTTTTATACACAAACTATACCTTTAAAACCAAGACTAATCACATTAGTAAACAAATGCAGGTAATGGAAACTTGCAAAACCAGTGTTCTACTAAGTCATCTACCCATAAGTAAATAAAATACCTTCTGAAAAGAATCTTCATCTGTTATATCATAAACTAAAATAGCTCCATTTGAATCTCTGTAGTAAATTGGGCCCAATGCATGGAATCTCTCTTGACCTGCTGTATCCTAAATAAAGCAACAAATGCTTATTAGATCAGAAAAAAAAAACACATCTGCTATTGCAATTACAGTAAACTTTTGACTAAAAGTTCATGACCACTAAAAGTAGGGCATGAAGGTACAGACAACCCCAAAACACACACAAGAAACAAAGGTTACCAAAATGTTTAAAAATCAAGTTATAATCAATATTTAATGTTTTACTGTTATACAAAGTTTATATTTCCCCTCCCAACCATCTTCCTCCCCAGAAATCTTCCTACCCCCACTAAAAAAACCAGTTCAGTTATTTGGGGGTCCAAGATGGCATTATAAGCCAGGAATAGGGTTGGCCCTAAATTTAGGCTCCCACAGAGGGAAGAGACAAGGAAAGAGAGCATGCTCCAGGACCACCTGCTAACTGCTATGCTACTACATTACCCTCACTCTACTCTCCATTAGCCACTCCCTTGGAAGACTGGAACAGAGACAGGAGAAACAAAGGCCAAGCTGCTATTCACCCACCCTGTCCTTTCCCTTCTCTGACATGAATCCCTCTGAGTTAACCCTCACCCAGCTGAAAAGTTATTATAGAAATATTCATGTATATAACTGTATTCGAGGTATAACTATTGGCCATCTTTTTTAAAAAAATAGTTATTAAAAGAAGTTTTGGCTAATCTCCAGTTAATTTAAAAGAAAATCCAAATTTTCAAATTACTGTTCCTTGAACCAATTAGTTATTAGAGTACCAAGAACAGTAGAGGCCTTAACTCATACAACTGAAAAGGTTAACTTACCCATATAGCAAGGTTTACTCTCTTCCCACCAATATTTAACTTCTTTGTTAAGAATGATGCCTAAGACAAGAGAGATATACATTAAACAATGTTTCATATAAAATAATGCTTTTTATCTTAACTATAGATGAATATATCATCTCAATATAAAACTCAAGTTATCTGGAAGAAAAAGTAATCACTGAGTTTTTATTAATGACTAAACAATTTCAATGAAGACATTACATTATAACCTAATGTAAGAAAAAGATATTTGTTTTATGAACACATTATGAAAAATACAAAGAAAATTAGTAATAAAATACTTTTTCTTAGTTTTCCCCATAAAAAATTTTGTTACAGCATTGAATTTGATACCACCTTAACTATTCAATAAAGAAAGACTCTAAGAGATTTCTAAGATGAGATCAAAGAAATGTCTACTGGTAATTTACTTAACTATATGAATACCAATATTATTTTTTAAAATTCCAGCAGTTATTTTATAATTCAATTATTTCATCTGTATCTAATAATTTTCCTAGGTACAAATGTCACAGAAATGAGAAGAAATAGTTCCAACCTTCAAGGAGCATATAGTCTATTGCAGAAATAAAAATGTGAAGAGAATTATAATACCATATTGTTAAAATGAAGGGTCTTGACAAGTATACTTTGGGAGGGGTTAAAAAAGGAAATATAAAGCCTGCCTGGTGTGAGTCCAAGACAGTGTAAGAGAAAAGGTGATGATCCTCACTTTACTCATAGTACAGTTTTCCTGACAGATGGCTGAAACCACTGAAGCCTGAAAAACATAGCTGCCTACCCCCTGGGGAACTCCAAATTGTAAGGTCAATGCCAGAGATGAGACATATCTCTATACATATATAGGCAAAGGCTGAATGAATAAAAAAAAGTCCTTCAATTCCTTGTATAGAAGTATGTACTTTACCTTGTGCTTCTTAAGGAAACCTAACATACTAGACATGTATTTTTTAAATGTATACTACAGTCAGTCATAATTGGAAAATGCTTCATATTACTCTGTGTCCCCTTTGTACATTCATAATGCAAATTAGCACACTAGGATTCTTGCTGCCAAAATGAAGGCTGACTAACTGCATTTTTACAAGCATTCCCCAAACTCATTTGACCTCTTAATCCCTAAAAAAATACCTAATTTGTCCTAAAGAATATATTTTAAGAAGTAATACTGTTGACAATGGAGACTCACCAAAGGGTTTTTAAGCAGTGGGGAAGTATAAAATCTATACTTTGAGAGAATGACTTTGAGATAGGAAGGAAGGTTGGACTGGAAAGGATGGGAACAGAGCTGAGGCAGTGAGGCCATTACAAAGCTGGAGGAAAAAAAATGTCCTGAACTAAGTCCATGAAGACAGAAAAGAGAGAACAGAATCGAGAGTACTTGAAGAAACAAAATCAGAATCCAGAGTCAGTTGACATGTTTAAAAAGAAATAGCCAAGTTTAAAGCTATGCAGAGACAGTCACATATAGGTATATCTATATAGAAAAAATTGCAGCCCTGACTGGTGTGGCTCAGTGGATTGAGCACCAGCCTGCAAACCAAATGGTCACCAGTTTGATTCCCAGGCAGGGTACATGCCTGGGTTGTGGGCCAGGTCCCCTGGGCGGGTGCAAGAGGCAACTACACAAACACATTGATGTTTCTTTCCCTCTCTTTCTCGCTCCCTTCCCTTCTCTAAAAATAAATAAAATCTTTAAAAAGAAGAAGAAATTGCATAGAAAAAAGGTAGAACAAATAAAAGCTAGGATGGTGAATTATTACTGAAAGAGAAGGCACCTACATTTCAGTACGGACTTTCTGCTGTATGAATACAAAGGAAAATTAACACTAAGAAAAGGTCACTGGATTTAGTGAGTAAGGAATCCACAGATAGATACAAATGACAGAGCTGAGACCAAGTCCACAAATGGCTGCCTTAAAGGCCCTAACCATACTAGCCAAGATATTTTATCAAATGAAACAATAGAGATTATACAGAAAAGGTACAAAATAAATTAAATGGCAAAATAATGAAAGAAATAACTTAAAAAATGAGAAGACCAAATATGCGTTATGACAATAAATGAGAACAAAAGGACTTTTTCCATCCATGGCAGCATTGGGGCTAAGAATACAAATTTTGAGGCAGAATTTACATTTGAATCTCAGCTTTGCCACTTATATTAGTTTTGTAATTTTTTTGAACTCAACCATTCTCATGGTTTCAGTATGAATGCTACAGGAAGAAATTCAAGAGCTGAATCCTATCTAAATATTTAATTTATGTAGGTCAACTTAAATGCCTTTCAAACATATTTAAAATTAAACGGATCTTCTCTCGAAAACTGGCTTTCCATTACAACTTTAGTATTTTGACCACATTCTCCAAGTCACTGAAGTTTCAAATCTCAGTAAAACCATCCCTGAATATTCTCCCTCCCTTGTCATTCCATACTTCCCCCCAAACTACCACCCCTTGTGTTCATATTTCCTCTGGAAATCTATGACCACCAGTTTCACACTATGTTCTGGTATAAGTACCTTTGGTCTTACCTCACACTCTGGCCTACATGCCAAATTATCTTCCTAAAGTATCTGTGACTTTATAAAATCTTATAACTTGTAACAGGGGTCTATAATAAGTTTTTTTTTAGTAAGTATGCTTGAACTACATCCCTACTGGCAGCTAATATAAAATAATTTGTTATGTGTTTTGTAGGGATTTTTCAGCAGAGGGGAGTGAATTTCTACCACCCCCTCTGAAACTTACCGCCACTCTCCCATGGGGAGTTTAAGGGACAATATTAAGTCTCTCCTAAGAAATCATGAATATACAAAACAATTTTATGGAAAGAGTGCTCATCACAGTATTTATTAATTATAAAATGAAAAATCATGAAATAAATGTTCATCAATAGGCAATTAAAAATATAGTCCATCTATACAGTGGAATAAGTCACTTTTACTATTGCTAATACTAGCTAACAGTTACAGAATGTTTACCCTTTGCCAAGTACTGTGCTAAAGTACTTTTTACAAAAATCATTAAGCTTCTGCTTTATAAAAGTTAGGGAGCCCTAATCTACAAATAAAAAACCTCAAAGCCTTATTTTTTATTCCGAGGACCTTCATAATTTGTCCACACCAATCTTCCTAAAATAGCTTCCAGTATTTCTTCACTTACTCTCCAACTTATCTGGTCTGTATATAGTCCCTCCAATTCTGTTTGTTCATTAAATTTCCCTCTAATATGGGCCTATTCTTTCTTCTCTATCTGCATTGTATATATCCAAGTTCTGTTCTGACCTATATATACTCTTCTTGCTTGAATTTTTCAGTTTCTCATACCACCCATACAACTCACACAGACTTTCTCTATCCTGAAGAATTTTACAGACCCTAACATTGTACTATACAGCATATAATGCCTTATATGTTGAAAGTTATCTTTTCATAAGTATAAATATTGTTAACTAGATTACATATTACTAATTTAACACTTTCACAGTGCTTACAATAAAATGGGCAGTGTTCTAAGACCTTTTAAATATTAACTCACTTAATTCTCATAACACCTTCTGAATTATTTATTACTCAAATATTATAGATATGGAAACTGAGATACAGGAAGGGTAAGTATCTTGCCCAAGTCACAAAAGTGTTAAGAGTGGGATTTAAAATTCAGGAGTCTGACCTCAAAAAGAACTCAGACCCTCTATGCTATGGTTCCTCCCAGACTAAGACCAGAACTAACACTTCTCGGGAGAGTGGCACTAACACCTACACAGATGAAAATCGGCATATAACTTTAGACTTCCTGAAAGACTTGACTATTAATAGCCTATTGTTGACTAGAAGTGGTCTTACCAGTAACATAAAGTTGATTAACACATATTGTGTATGTTACAGGTATTATATACTGAATTTGTATAATAAACCAGAGAAAAAATGTTATTAAGAAAAATTAAGAGAAAATAAATTTACAGCACTGTACATATTTATTTTTAAAAATCCACATATATGTGGCCCTGTGCAGTTCAAATCTATGTTGCTTAAGGGTCAAATGTGTTATTATTGAGATAAACACATGTACAATATGCCTGGGTAAATCAATGGAGGTATAACTCTATAAAAGAGATATGTTCCTGAAAGTTTCCTTAGAAACCAAATTATTTTAATTCAAACAGCTCATACACTAGTAAAGCACATTATCAAAGGTTCCCTATTAGAGCTTTTTTTCCCTTCATAATGAAAAATGTAAGTACTACTCAATGAAAAAATTCCTTCTGTAACACAAGTCATCTCATTTTATATACATCCTAAGTTTTTAATATTTTGTTTTCTTGAAGAACATATATCTACTTTTAAAAACAAATATAATTATATTTGAGAATAAAATTGAAAAGATTTTATGTAACAGCAATCAATCAAAAGGCTGAAATTTGTCTTACCCTTGTTACCCATTCCTCTATGAGGCATATTTAATTTGTCCATACTACTAATACCACTTGTGATAATAATAGTTACTCTAGGGCAGTGGTTCTTAATTCTGTTACATGGCAGTGAGAGTTGGTGAAGGGAGTGATCATGGACTTCACTCCCAAGAAAACTGCTCATATGCACATGCAAAACAATTTTCACACTCTTTCCAAAGGGATTTATAAATCCCTGGCAACATCTCAGTGAAGAATCCCAATCCAGAAAAGGGAAGAAAGAGAAAAGTGGCATAAAACAATACCAATTCAAAAAAATTTAGGAATATATGAAGAAAAACAAAATTGTACATATTATTTACCAAGCACTGTCTTTGGGCTTCCTCATTTAATCTTTATAACAATCCTCTGAAGTAAGTAATCATCCCTATTTTACAGTTGTGAACTTGAGATTTAAAGAATACAGGGGCACCCAAGGTCAGACAACTTAGGTGCTACAGTGCATGGAAGCCTGTCTGAACTCACAGTGCTTTTTCCACTGCTCAACGCTGCCTGTTCTAGAACATGTGCATTCTTAACCGGGTACTCTTGTACTTGGACACTAAGTGGTTCTGGACACCAA